GGCCCCCCCCCCCCCTATGCTAGGGGCCCGGGCCAGAAAATTGGTACCAGGGCCCGAGATGGGATGTGGCGGGCCTGGTAGTAGGGTTGCTGCTTTTAATGCTACTCATCGTTATTTTTCCCTTGGCCATGCTAGTGGAACTTTCAAATTGTTAATCACAGAATACGTCAGCTCAATTTTTGTACTGATTTTAATTTTTAACATTTTGGTCTCTTCAATAAATATCACCTGCTTATAAAGGACACTACTTAAACTAACCCTTTCAGGCTGCATTTTTTCTTTATTTGCACGCTTTTGGCTTTTTCTGTTCCTTCTATCGCATCCTTGGTTTTTCTTTCAATTTTTTCAGACCCTCATCCTTTGTTTAAAACTGTAGCGGTCCTAACGAATACTGTTAAAACCCTCAATTTCCTATTGGAATCAGAATCAGGTGAGGAGCTTGGTTGATTACAGCCAAATATGGCCACTAAGTAAAAAGGAAATGGAATTTTCTCTTCCGCAAGAATTCTCTAGACTCTAGTTGATATCGCCATTGCATTTTTAATGTTGTTGAAAATTCCAAAGTGTTTTCTGAATTAATGAGACTCCAATCCTTTCATTTCCAATCGGACGAAACTAGGTACATAGAACTTTTGGTTGAATTATGCCAAAAAGAATTATTATCATAAGATTTGTATGCTTCATTACTCCCCTTTATTTATTTTGCTCATAAATAGTTTCTTTTAGGCTAAATATGCCCATATCGACTCTAAACCTTTTTAAAAAGAGCCTATTTATTTAACAGAATTTTAGTTCTGTGGAAGCAGGGCTCAGGATATTTCTATGCTGCAGGTTCTTCGGCGAATTAAAAACTGCACTTAAGCGAAATACAGAAATTATGATCTCGAGCAGATAAACGATTTTCCCTTGGCATTTTGCAGGTATACTGCCGTGCTGAGGAACAATGCCGTATGAACCTTAATCAGTCGCCAAATTTCCTTTCATTAAATATGAATTTTCAGGAAAACTCGTGAATAATTTCCTTTCAATTTTTCAGAGAATTTTCTTTGTAATTAGATCTCAATTATCTGAAAATTTCAAGACAAAATATTTACAATTCTCTTCAAAAATAAATATTCCATCGGAGGAAATTTGGCAACCTTTGAATGTTCATACGGCGTTTTTCCATAGCATGGCAATATAGGCAAACTCGATTTTAGATAAGAAAAGTTATGTCATATCTGGGTTTTTGCCGTCAGCTAATAAGCATTGAGGCGTATGATAGAATAACCACTTATACGCGTATATGGAATAAAAATGCTTATGCAGTATTCCTACCGCGAAAACCCAGCGACGCATGTCAGAATCAAACTTTAAATGCGATTTTCTCAAAACTATGTTTTCAGCTATAGGTGGTTATTCCTGCTTACGCCTCAATTGATTATAATATTATGTTGAAAAACTTGTTTCCTTTCACTTCTTTTCTTCCGTATATACTTTTAGATAAGGTGATAAAATATGTGCAGTATGTATTAGTAAAAGGAATCTATTTTCCAATTTTCTAAGTGGTCTAAATTTGTTTTCTTTTTTTTTACACTCTAGATAGTCAAAATGAGAATATGAAGAAACTAGAATCATCTCCAAAGATAATCGCTAAAATAGGTGAGTTGCTGATTATTTTTCCCCCTTTTTTTAACAAGGTGGTCTGTCTGATTAATATTCCTTTGCTCAGTTGTGCACGTAAGCATCTCATTTTTCTAAGTCAAATGCAAAGCTAATTTCTGGTTAGTTATCAAATATTTTGTTGTGATTTAGGTTCTGCAACATCAGTTGCATCTTCGGGCGTTTGCAACATGTGCGAAAACTACGAAGCTCAACTAGTCGCAGCCCAGGAGCGGAGTAGAGATCTCGAAAAACAGTTGTGTACTCTGGAGCGGTATAAGGAAGAGCTGAGCAAGGAGACAGCATTCAGGAAGGACATGGAAGAGAAGTGGAACGAAAAGAAAGAGGAACACAAACTACAGGTATTTTTTATCTCTGCTTAGAATCGTATTTAATGGATAATTTGCACAGGGGTGCAAAAACTTCTGGACCCCTGAAACCGGGTGAGTTGCGATCAGTCTCGTGTAAAACTGGGAAGGCCCGGAAGATCATGTTGTCAGATGGGAAAGCTGGCAAAATCGCTTTTTTTTGGAAAGGTGTGGTGAAAATCAGGAGTTTTTCTCAAACTTTTGGCAATGAATACATAAGGAAGTCATTTTTTTGAATTTCTGAGGAAAAAGGGGTTTTTAAAATAGAAAAGCCAATTTTAAAAATAGGAAAGGCTAAGAACTTTCTGCATCCCTGAATTTGCAATTTTCAAGAATTTGCTTTGTCTAAAAATGCCCATTCAGTACTGCATATAGTATTTCTTTAAATTTGTTTATGTTATGGGAAACTAGAGATAAATAGTTTTAAAAGTGAAAAAATTTACCACTTTGTGATGCTATCAGCTGGTATGTCTCATTTAAACACATGTATCTTAGCAGATCATTTCATTTTGTTGTTCGGCCTTCAATGATGGAATTCTAGACAAGGTGCGAATTAAAGCGCTCTGGTACATGTTCCATGTAAAATACGATTTGAACCACAAAAAAACTTAAAGTAACTAACTCCTAACATAGATATTAACGCTTTTTGATGCCTAAATTCAAACTTCTGGCTCAAAAAAAAAAAAAAAAAAAAAAAAAAAAAAAAAAAAAAAAAAAAAAAAAAAACAGCAATCTACTTGAGTTAAATCGCATGTTAATATGTTACTGTGACGTTCTTTGCATTATGAAAATAAGACAAACTCAATTTCAGTGCTTCAGCTCAGCTACAGTATGTTGATTACATTTTTAACAACATAGGGTGGGAGAGGAACATTACTTATCGAGAAGCCTGCCAAAACCGCTTTAGTGCACAATGTAATTCAAGTAGACTTTTTTTTTTGTGAGGAGGATATTCAAATTTTTTGTAGCCAGTGCTAAATGAAAGCGTTATTATCTTGGTTGTAAGGTGATTGCAGTAATTTCTATTGCGCAAATTGTGTTCTATATAAAATTTTAAAGAGGATATACACATGAGAATGCTTAAATTCGTGCCTCGTCTGGTCGATTGCTTAAAAATCAAGAATAGAGATTCTCGTGCCCTGGTCACTCAATAGTTTCCACTAAATAATGAAAATCATCAAATTTCAGACGATTTCAAATTCTTCATCCTCTGAGGGCTGCATATTACTTCCAGTCAAACAGATTCAGTACAAACTATGATACCAGCAGATGCATCAGGAAATGGATTACATTTTCCAATAAGGAACCACTATTTCTAGCTCATTTTAGAAACAACATATGTGCCATTGGTTTCCGGATGCGGATATGCGTTTTTATGAAAGAGCCCAAGATAGTGGTTCCTTATTGCAAAATGTAATCCAAATGATGTATGCACTGATGAGCTCAATTCATTTGAATCCATAGGATTGTCTGCTGCAGCTTTTACAAATCATTTATCGGGCGTATTTATGCCACAAGGCAGTACATGCCTAGGGTTTGCATGCAACATAGTTTCTTTCAGCATTAACACGTCCAATCATTACTACAATCATAATAGTGAAGGATTTATACGTTTTTAATGGACTTTGATATCTATTTTTTTTTTTTGCCCTTAAAAAAATTAACCGTTGGTATTTTTTTATTATTTTTTTTCTGTTTAATCCAGATTCAAGAACTACAGAAGAAAGTTGAGGAAGCAGATAAATCTTTGAAAGAATTAAAGCATATTTACAGTACGACCAAGTCTGAAGTCACTCAGCGGCTGAGTAAGCTCGATGAAGAGAGGAGGCAAACAGAAGCAAGACTGAATCAGTAAGAGCATTCCTCTTTCATGTGCCTTTTTTCTCTAATGCTTTCCAAAGATCCGAGATGAGACGGAGCTCTGTCACCGAAATTTATGTCGAAAATCAATTGATAAAAACTTTGTATCAAAGCTGAATACAGTTGCTCAGCACTCTCTCTTCGTAGTGGCCCCCTCCAAAACGGAAAACTTTCCATGACTGATAATTCCACCGGTTCCTTCCTATACTGAACAGATGTATTTTCCCCCCTGTCTTCTGGATCTCTCTCTGCACTGGATGAATAATCCGGTCCCTTGAGATCTGCTTCAGAGAGAGAGAGAGTACGGTATCATCATGCATTTTTTAGCTGGCCATAGAAAATATTGGCAAACCCAAATGTAGCAGCTTTGAGCTTAATTTCAAAGTTACATTACAATGTCAAGTTCTGAAATTTGCTGGAACCTCTATTCTTAGAACCTTGACTCAAATCATTGATGTAAAATACTTGTAACTATCGGAAGGCATCAAAATACTTTTGAGTTTTCAAAATGTGCCGGAACTTTTTACAAGCAATATTTTGTCGTAAGTTGTTACAAATTTCCAATTCTGTTTTTTAACTTCATCATACATGTGTTATCTGTGCAGTTTACAAAGAGAAAACGAAAATCTAGTTGGGAAACATAGCAAACGCTCAAGTGAGCTGCAAAGTGAGATGATCAATTTACCAGATGTTGTTCCTGTAAGTAAAAATTTAATTTCTGATCAATTTAAATCAGCATTCTTTAATGACATTAATCAATCAGTTATTCAGGGTGTTGCAGTTCTAGAAAAACCGGAAAGTCCGGGAAAAGTGTGGTATTTCAAAGAAAGGTATAGAAGAACGCCTGGAAATTTGACTCCAGATCCGAAGAAACTAAAAAACCCCGCATTTTTGCATCATTTCTAAACTCAGGATACAAGAATACTTTTGGAGACGCAGATACTTTCCACCAAAATATCTCTATGTTTAAAAAGTATTCAAATTCATGAACTCTAGAATTTTAATTTGTACAACCTTGTTTTGTTATAATCTACCTTCTTTTCCTCTGGATTTAGATGCAATTATGTTAACTTCTACTTTATTTATTGATTATTTAATACCTGCTTTTGTTTGCCAATTGCCAAAGTTTGCACTCATTTCTTTTTTTTTTTGAAAACAATTGGCTCGCCTGTACTTAGTTGAAAATAAAGTAAAATAAAATTTACACCCTTCTGTTAAATCAGGCAATTCTGAAAAGAACACTTTAATAGCTAATCTGTTAGTGCACAGACTATTGCCGCAGAAAAGGTTTAACAGCCAGGAAAAAGACAGTAATTTTATTTTCTAAAATCTGTAGATACTCTGTTACTTCTCTTCTTCAGTGCTTTATTGCTAAGCCTTGAGAAAGTCAAACTCCGTAGCTAAACACTCTGTTCTGTTGCCAACTGAATCACTGTTTCTAAATCCTCTGTTTCTGTCCGTTTGCTCTGCCGTTCATGGAAATCCTTCTCTCCTGTATTTCTTAAGGAATTACAAGAAATGCTTCTTCGGCGTCTTGACGATTTAATAGCTGCTAAGGTTGGGCAAGAAAAAGCAGAAGAAATGGTTGAGAACCTCAGATACGAGGCGAATATGCTGCGAGAGCAGTTGGAATCTGCTCAAAAGAACCAAATATGCTCGGAACAACGATTGCAGAGTACAATTCACAATCTTGAGTAAGCTATCTTTTTTTCTCTCTCTTTTTAGACTCGCAATTTATTTATTGTTACTTGTTCAAAGAATCTCAATGAGACTCCTCTTTACATTTGAGTTTGTTATTTGTGAAAGGGCAGAAGTCCCAAGAAGCGAGTTTCCAGAAGCAAAGCAAACCTACCTGAGTTTCCTCCTTTTCCTTCCGTCGTTGTTAAAAAATAGAAACAGGTTACAAAATTAAGAACCTCGACATTTGAGCCACCCTTAAAATTTATTTAAGGATACAAAATTCTCTGTTTTTCAATTATAAATAACTGTTGTTTGCACGTCTCTGACACCAGAGGATTGATAACTAACTCGCAAGTGCACAGACTGTCGCAGAAAAAAGGTAGGAAAAATTCAGTAATCAGTACTGCTCGACCTGAAATAAAATAATTTGCACTCTTAATTGAATGATCTCCGTGTACTTTTCCAGGAGCAATTTGCACAGAGCAGAAAGTGAGAAGCAACAGTTGTCCGCCCAATTGAAGGAACTGGAGGCTCGCGTCATAAGTTTACAACAAGAAACGGATGACTTGAAGTTAGAGTATGACAAGGCTGTTGAAGCTAGGGTATGTAGATGATTTTCCGCTGGTTTCTCAGTTATTCAAGCTCTTCAAGGTCATGTTTTATTTGTTTTCAAATTATAGTGGTAAAACTTCTCATTCTTTTTCTCCATTTTCCTTGTGTTTTTCCAAGTAAGGCAGTAAATGCTCTTCAATGACCAAAGTGCATTATTACATAAACTCCTTTGCTGTGTTTCAAAATTTCTTAGAGCTAAAAGCACGGCAGATTATTTTCATCTGCAAGTCAAATGGCTAAAGTGTAAGTTTCTCTTTCAATGACTTGTCAGTCTGATGTTTTCCTTTAACTCATTTCAAAGACGGAGTCCAATAGGTTTTTTGCTCGCAAGAGATACAGCCATCTGAGTACAGTTTTTAAGAGTAAATTCTCTCGAAAATCACGATGGGCACCTAAAAAAAGTCTGAAATCTGTTCCTCAGGGCGCAGTCTGCGTAATTTGTAACTTGCTTTTACAAGCTTCCTGCCTCTGCGCATAGTTTTTCTCAGGCACTGCCAACCAGGTTTGCACAGGCAGAGGAGTAAGAAAGAACTACCTAAAGCAAACAAAGATTTACTAACTTTTTCTATTTTATAACTTCATTTGTTTTCAAGTGTTTGCTTCCTTTTCCTTTCTTTATTTTGCAAAAACAACAGCTTTGAATCAATCGAAATCTTCTACAAGGAGAGTTTATAACAAATTGCAAGATTGGTTGTTTCCTTAGGTTAGGTCTCTGTTTGGGAAAATCTGACTGCCAGCCATCAAGAAAAACTGCCGGCATACACCATAAATTTGAACAAGCGAGGTTATAAATTACATAAATTGTGCGCTAAGGAGTGGATTTTAGAATTTTTTGATGTGCTCAACGTGATGTTTGAGTGAATTTTCTCTTTTGAAGCGTATTCAGTTGGCTGTATCTCTTGCTAGCAACAGATTCATTGAAATGTACCCACAAATGGTTTATTAATAAACATTTATTCATTTTTTTTAAAAAAAAAATGCATGATCCACAACCCACCATCTATCATTTGCAAATCAATATCAGCTCCAGCAGGAAGCAGATGCCAGGACACAGAGTTTTGCCCATCAAGGATGGATACACGTTTTTCTACCTATTATTTGCAAGTACATGCATCATTTTGCATTGTTGCTACCGCCAGATAGAATACTAATGTAACTCGAAGTATTTGTTCAGATTTTTTGGCCACCTCATAACTGTCATTAATTTGTCATGATTCTATTTTCAACACTACTTTTCATAATTACAGGGGACTTTGGAATATGAACTGAAGGAATCGCGGAAGAAAATCACAGCACTTCAAATAGATTTACAAATGTGTGAAAGAACTCAGAAGGATTTTGTCCAGCTTTCTCAATCCTTACAACAAGAGCTGGAAAAAATCAGAGAATCTGACAATCAAGTAAGTTCCACATCTATCTATTCTTTGATGGAGTATGAGGACGCCAATTTTTTCTTTTTAAAAAACTGATATCGTTGGATCAATTCGGTTTCTCCAAAAAATTTTGAAACTTTTCAACAATGGATGGTCGAACACATTTGATAAATAACTATGTTTGACAGAAGTGGACGTAGGTACCATTTTATGATCCAAATCAGGGGTCAAAGGGGTTGGTATTCTTCTGCTTGAGATGGAGTTTGATTCTCAATACGCTTGCTCTTATATAAAATTTTCCCCAATTAAAACGGGTAAAGTGCTTGTTATCTTTCTTCGTAGCCATCTCTATGAATGATTTTGTCAAAAATTTAGCACAGGAATACGACTTTAAATTGTTTCAGAACTTTCCATACTTCTATACGAAATATTGCTGGAAGTAAAATTTATTTAGTCAAAGTATCATACCTTTTCAGTGGAGTATTTCAACCTCTTTATCGATTACTTTTCTATTTGATCAGGTGCGGTGGGAACATGATGAAGATGTCGATGAGTGTCACAATTGCAAAGCACCGTTTTCAGTTACCAAAAGAAGAGTAAGTATCATGATGAAATTATGAATGTAAACCAGATTTAATAATGTCCTATCCTGGTGTAGTTGCTGGTGTAGTTTCGAAAACTCATTTCTTGGATCATGATGTTGCAAATTTCTCAACATATTTTATTGGTCATTCTATCTGTATACTCCTCTCCTCCCTCTCCAATTTTTCTTCAATTTACAACAATATTATGCAAAAATTCCAAATAATAATATCACTTTATTTTTTCTCTAAAAGAAAGAAAGTGAACATGTACATTTTGAAATGGTACAATTGACGTATCCTAAAAAAGAATACAGTCGGGCTTTGAAAGAATCACGGTGTCTCGGAATGTATTGGTTTTCAATTTATTCTTGTGAGTTTAAGTATAATACCGGTCTTGCAATTTTTACACTATAGTCGTAAAATTGAACTTCAAAATTCCCAACCAGACAGTGCTACACTTGAGTTTTTAAAAAAATCTTTATAACAATTACATTCTCTTTCCATTAATACTGGGTGAAATTGTGGTGATTTAAAAGCGAATGACAGTCCTTACAGCCACTTTAGTGGTGCTCAAAAATCCATTTTCAGCTGTGATTTTCTTAAATTGTATTATTAGATCACTGCAGGGCTTTCTGACCTTTCTCCCTCTCCTCTGTAACCCATTAACCGTGTCTATTTGCTCTTTCTATTTTAGCAACACTGCCGGCATTGCGGTAGAATATTCTGCACTGCGTGTCTCTCTCACCAAGTCAAAAGCGGGCCTCATCAGCGACCTTCGAAAGTGTGCGGAATCTGTCACACACTCCTAGACCGTGAAACTGCCCCGTTTTTCAGCACAGACCCTCCTATACCTCACTAATTTTTTAGTTATTTAGTTTTTAAGCCACCCAGAAACAAAATCTCTTAAGCCAAAGACATTATGACCTAAACAAGAGGGCGCAATCAAAGTCACCAGCTGTAGTGTGGCAAAAAATCATTCAAACTCCAATCTGCAATAGTTCCTGCTTGTTCTTCAAACTGTGTGCTGTAACACTTAAGTTATCTGTGCAGAAGCTACATTTTTCTTGAAAAGTCATTCATCAGAAGGGGTTTTTACAAAATGATTTACTCTAATAGTGCTCACTGAAATCAGAATTTGAAACCTCTTAACACATTTTTCGAACGTGCGAAGGTCATTCAGAAAGTTAAGTCTCCTCTTGTTTTTCTTGCACTCTGATGATGGTAAAAATAAAACTGCTGTAGCAATGGGTTTCATCTATTTCGAACGAAATTTAACCAAGAAAACTGAGGTTTAATGTAAGCCCTTGTTTTTTTTTGTTTTTTTAAATCAAACTGAAAAGAACGCTATTTATTTGATTTTGGCTCTCTCAGAAGATCGAATTTGGCATCAAGCCGCGCGATATTCTCATCACAGAGAGCCGTACAACCAAGAACAAATAACGAAAATAAAACGGGTATGCCTTGTCAGGCCAGGCATCTAGTTTCCCTAACCAGTCTTCCTGTCCCTAGGAAAAGCATAAATGAGTAAATAAGTGAGTGGCAGTCAAACAGCAGGCGTGCCAGGGAGGTGCCGTAGCTCGCAGCTAAACACAGGCGTGCGCGCCAAAGGTAGCCAAACTTCAGGCGTACCCTTACGACGTTAAGTGCAAGAAGGGTCAGCCAAACAGCCGTTGTGCCTGGGAGCTGTGGACAGGATGGGACTGTGATGACTACTCGCTGAAAAGCTGAAGAGCTGGAGCTTTTATAGGTGTTATTACATAATGATTGCGTAATGGTTGCATAACGGTCATGTTGCATGACACGTGCCGATCTAAATTACATAACTGAATGCCTGGCTTTACACTAACCGAACTTAACTCAACTTCAAAAATCGAAGGGGTCCCTGTCCCCAACACAAACTATGGGAACCTTCAGGAAAGAAATTTTTCCACGCCGTTATCATCCATCTCTTTGAAGTCTTGAATAAATTTGGGAATCCCTCGGTCAAAGAATTCAGCAGGTCGTCTATTAAACCCGTTTAAGATTAAAGGTAGGTTAAGAGTTTGCACCTTCCAGGCAGTCTCTGTTAGAAACTCACCAAGACTTTATTTTAATTTTGTACAAAAATAAAAGTTAAGAGGTTTAAGATTAAAACTGAACGTGGGATGAGGAAAAACTTTTCAAGGAGGGTTTGTCCTAACCAAAAGGTCGGTCAAGTTGTGACGTGAGGGCTGACTATATCGTGATGTAAATGCTTACCCCAAGTGAGTAAACTCTGTCAATTATTCTGAATTCCTTGTTGCAATTCTTAAAGCAACTCTCTATCATATTGGCATAAATGATGTCATCATGAGGTAAAGTATAAAAAAAATTACATTTTTTCTGTCTCGGCACGTTTCGTAACACATTTCTCATCCTCCTTTGTAGTCGAATTTGACGGTGCAAACGGCAACCGCAACACTGGAAACGTGCTCGCTTGAATGTTACCATGGTCCAATTTCGAAAAAATTAAAGCCAATTGAATTAAGAACCCAACGATTTATTCAGGTTTTTCATAAACAACTATGGCTCTTCAGAGAAACAAAAAGACTACATTACTTTCTAATGACCCTCGCGCTTTATCATTTGCAGCTGTGATGTAAATTTTTAAGAATTATGGAATCTTCCAAAAACTTTAAACATTTTTATCTTTCGAATGAGACTTCTAGATACTGTCTATTCTACCTATAGGTGGAATCAGGAATTTGTTTTGCACAAAGCATAGGAGGTTAGAGTGCCCTTCTTTGCTCCACCGCAATAAGGAAAACAGTCTCACGTGTTTGTTGTCAACATTATCTTGGGAAGTGTTGATAGTTTCGCACATGATTATATCGGAAAACTTAAGGTAATTCAACCCTCAGACTGCCTCAAATTTACTATGGAAACTCAATGGACCACTGGATTAGGTACGAATTTTAAACTTTCTGATTTATGTTTCTGTTTCAAAATTTCACACAAAACACGATTTTTGAAACGAAAATTACTAAAATTAGCTTGCAACTAAGACTCTATCATTTTTATGTAGCATTGGTTACGAACAGTTTGAATTTTCCACTCACATGATAAATCAGAGTTTATTGTGAATCAAATTGCTACCTGAAATTTTGATGAGAGACTATGTATTTTAATGCTTAAATTCAGCAGGCAGTTCTTTTTAGCAGGAGGGGTGTCAAATGATCGTTAGGATAATTTGTTGATTGAGTCTTTTTAGTTTATAACATATGTGATATCAATAATAATGTAGTTTAGTATTCAAAGTAGCACATTTGATATCACGTTGCTGTGAGGAAGACTTTAATCCCTCTGATGGCGTAAAAAATAGAGAAAGAGAAAGGAAGCCGAAGTTTCTGCTCCCAAAAATCCAGTCAAATCATTTAGAGGTTGGATAATCTGAGTTTCTATTGACATTGTTGGAAACCTTTTGACTTCAAAAGGATCTTGTCCTTACTAAGGTGTCTTTTTTTTATTTGTCAAATAACTTTCTGGTTTTGTCAAATTTTTAACTCAAAGCGTTTCTCAGCCTTTTTTTTTTTGTTTATCATGCCAAGAGAACATTTTCTTGAAAATTTTATCGAAGAAAAAACTTATAAATCAAAACATTTTCTCTTGTCATCTAATTGGTCTCGAAAACCAAGTAGTCGTTTCATTCCTAATCATAAATACTCGTTTTTAACCATTTTAATTTACTTCTCTCTATCTTGTTTCTAATAATCATCAATGTCTCATATGATTCAAGCGTTGATGGGATAGTGTCAAGAAAGCTTGCTTAGTGATTTGTCGATGACAGTGCAGTGCTGTGCTGTTTCAAATTTATTTTTTTAATTATCTTTCCTACTATCTCTCGTGCACCTTGCTGTAAAACGCGCTCACCCGTACGTGTGGTTATAAATATTTAAATTTTAAAAGAGTACAAGGATTAGTGTTAAATTTTATTTTTATGGGTAGGTGATTAGAGTATGAATCTGTGGGATCGTTCTTGTGAAAAATAAATTTCGATTACTGTAAAAATCGCGGAAGTTATACTGCAGATCTAACTTTCATTGAATATACATAGCTTTAAATAATTCCTATGGCAAATTATCAAAATTTCCTGAAAACTCGTAATCTCAAGAGCATTGTGATTTCTATCCATCTGTATGTCTTTTTTTTTTTTTTAAAAAAAAAAAAAAATTTCTTATCCTAGCCAGAGGGAGAGAGTATTGTGCAACCACCAATTTTTTCTTGGCGAAGTCTTTGAGGCAGCTATAGTGAATTTTTATTCAAAAATTTTTGTTCCAACTTTGACTACCGAAAAGATGGTCTTCAAAAAATGTCTAAATCCATAGATTTTTAACTTAAAAATCATCCAATTCTCAGGATCAATCACTTTTGGGTCGATCACCTTATTTCAATGACATATTTATTTAAATATGACCGTGAAAAAGACCTATCTTAGCTCAGTATTTGAGCGTACCATTTGTTGCATAAAAGGCTGTGTGTTGGACTAACCATAAACTTAATTGATAACTTCATCTTATTTGTCAAGGCAATAACCCGACTTTTAAATTTGATTTGATCTATTCCAATCTATACAGTTATGCTCCTGTTTCAATTTTAAAATTCTGACTCTATGATCATGATCAACCTGTCAGTCTGGGAATTGGGAATTATATTGTTTTATTCAAACATTTGTATGAAAAAGCCAATAACCCTAACTACATCTTACCAATGGAAGATATTGATGAAATTCAAGTCGGCAATTGCATTGCTCCCAATGTAATTTACAGTTTTTGAAACTTTTTATCTTGTGCCTGGTGTTATTCATCATAACCAATTTTTTTACGCTCTAAAAACTCCTCTTGAGAATACTAAAAATTAGAGTGAATTAACTCAAATTTTCCAAAAATGTTGGTTATGTTCCTTTTGTTCTTATCCATATTTTTATGATAGCTTCGATGGCACCATAATTGACAATGGTTAGGAAAAAGAACCAATTGACACAGACTTTGAACTGCGAAAAATAGGCCAAAGTTTCATTTCGTCATGAGGCCAATGGAAAAAACAAGCGTCAAGTCAAATTTTTGTATTCTCTGTATCATGTCGGACTTTTCATGGTCCGCAGGAGAATTTACGCCTCTCCACAAGTGCAGCATTATGGCCGAGTCAGTTTTTTCAAAGTTTACTTGGTTACCTTTGGCTGGACACTGCCCAAATGCTTTGCATTTTTCACTGTAAGAGAGTGAGCTCCATAACAAACTTCTTGCTGACTATTTTAAGAATCAAATGAATGGTGCACTAATTTTTTTTTCGAAGTTCAAACATTGTTGATACTATAGATTTCGAAAGGAAAACATGAATTTATCATTCCCTTGGTTTATTTGATAGTTATTTGACACAAATATAAAAATAATCATTTCCTCCTTAATTGTAGAGATAAAAAGAAGGTGCTTGCATTCCTGACATCTTAGAAAGAGGTTGATGACATACATATAAGTAGGTACAGACATTTTTGTCATCCATTTCCCCAAAAATGCTCTGGCCTATGGAAAAACTTGTACTCACAGAATTGTTTAGAATTATAGTTGTTGACGGATTACACTTAAAAGCGGTCGATGTGGTCCATTTTCCATGCTACAAATTTTGGATTTAGCAGATACATTGATGTCATATGGGACTCACCCCCGTCATGATGTGAGCAATTCAGAAATTATAACCACCCTCTTCCTACTTTTCAGCAGGTTTTTATAAATCTTGTTCATTTTCATCAAGAAAAATGAACTGATGCCATAAAACAATTTCTAAGTCTGAAAATTTTTCAGGGCCTCATGATGCGTTTGAATTAAAATTTCAAAGCTCAAATTTCAGAGGCGGTCTCTTACAATACATCAAATCATATTGTAGCCGTGAATTAATTTGAAAGCGATCATGTATGTAGTTCAGTACCTATTGCAATATTTTCTAAGATGTTAGTTGACCTATTTTTGTTGAATTCAATTCGCAGTAAGACAAAAAAACTTCTGCGAAAAATCAGTTAGAGCACTGTAAAATCAGAGTCACTTTTAGTGTCGGTGCTCGAAGCTAAAAAGATACTCCCGTATGATGGATCTACATTGAAAAATTTTCTTGTAATCTGTATTTCATATACCTCTTCATGAGGTATTACAATTTTTTCTTTATTGTGATTGTAAACTGTTGCTTGGAAAAAGTTTTGCCTGGGATATGTGGTTTTCTTGCTTGTAACAGCATGAGATATCTCTCAATGAAGGTCTCTGTGGCTGGGATATCTTGTGATCTTATTTTTAGTTTCTCCCCTCGATGACTGTGTTATGTACTGCATTACGAGATAAATCAGTTTTAATCTTATTCCTTGTCAGTTTAATTTTAAGTGCGTAATTCCTTTTTATTTGCTATTTGAATTATTTTTTATTGATTGTCAGTGAGTTTTTGTTCGTCCTGCACGTTGTTATCTCATATGTCTTGTTTGTTATTTGCTGATGAGTATATAGTTTATTTTTTAAAAAAGAGCTCCATACTTTTATGTCTTTGTAAATAATTAAATAAATTATGGAAAAAATATTTTTTACGTCTTCTTTTGCAGAATGAGATTATCCCTGAAAGGAATCCTAACATTGGTAAACTTGGAATGAGGGGCTTGGAGGACAAGGCGCACAAGTGTACTTTCTGCTATTTAAAGAAATGCGTGTTCGGAGTTTAGAAATTACATGGATTCTTATGGCAGAGAGAAAGTTTAAAGGAATTTGGGAGCAAATTTTTCACAGAAAATGCATTAGGACTAGTTTTACTTGAAATTATTAATGTCTCAATTTTCAAGTGACAAAAACTGCACTTACACGCCTTGTCCTCCAAGCTCCTCAAGTGAGGGTATTGGCAAGTATACAATATTGTGTGGTATGAAAAAATATATTTACAATATTAAAATTACACAAGTATGGAAAATAATAGGGGATCTTATAATAAAGGTATGTCAAAATTGAAATGAACCGGAAGATACAGCATGAAGAGGAAAAAATGTAATACTTTTGGAATTGGGCACCAAATTAAGTGGTATTTTGAAAATCTCCTTTCAAGATTTTTGGCAATACAAATGGTGGCTTCAGTTTGAGCTCTTGATCATCATCGCAGCAGTTGAGGAATATGTTGCGGTTTTAAAATTTTTTTTTTTGAAGGAGCGGCGAAACAGTTAGTCGAGTCCTTCTTTCTTCTCCTTGACTGCATCCTGAGAAGAAAGCAAAAAATTAGAGCAAAATTAGAGAACAAAATAGAAAGAGCAAAATAAGAACCTGAAGGAACGATGCGTGATTCATAAGGAACAGGGAACCAGTTTAACCTAAAAAACATGATTCATGACCAAAAAATACGTAGGGTTGCAGGATTGCCACAGTTTGGAAAGTCAGGGAATTTTTGACACCCCTACAAATCAATAAAACATCACTGATCTTCCAACTGTTCAGTCTACTGGTTATTTTAAGGCTCGTCATCTTTCAACCCGCTACTGAATGTTTTTATCCATCAGTTTTGCAACTGTCAAAAAAGGAAATATTGTCAAAAGATTAGCGGAAAATAGGTATTTTAGGAGAGGAATAATGAACTGGGAAATTTTGTTCAATTAAGGTCAGGGAATTGGAAAATTTCGGAGTCAAGGAAAGTCCAGGAATTTGAAGATGAAGAAATTATGGCAACCCTGGATTGGAAGATCTTGCCAACAGTTCTTGAATTTATTTACTCTGATGGTACTCAACAATTTAATTGCAACTTAATGTTTTTCAAAGATTTTCAAGCCTTATTAATTTTTCACAGAAATATTTTTTGAAAATCCTATCAGCAGACACGCTACAAATTATCTTTTACAGGTCACAACTTGGTGAATTTTTGACCAATTGAGCTGAAAAGGTCTTGTTTGGATGGCATGTACACTGTTCAGAACTCAGACGAAACAGGGCATTAAAATCCTTGATCATTCTCTCTATACTGCTGTCATTTGACTACTTTTGGGATTCTAAAGTAGTATATAAGTGGATGGACATAATTTTTCCAAGCCTTGTCTACATGGGAGTAGTTAGCCCAAATTCCGGCACACTTGTTCCTGGAACTTAATATAACTCATTGTCAGCTATAACTTATTCTGCAATGTCCCTGTTTGTTGAATAGTTTGCCATATAGTTCCTCAAACTGCGCTCTTGTGGACAAGACCCGAAGGTGACAAATGGCTGCTTATATTTTATTTTCATAAAAATTATTCTTGCCTTACTTATTAGAATTTTGTTGGAAAACGAATGAGGCCACTAAATTGCACTCAATTGTACAACATTCGATTAAATCATATACAAAATTTAGATCTGCAAACCTTGAATCTTTCTTCAAAAAGAGAAAGTTCTGCGATCAAATCCGTGATAGCATTCACAAGAGCTTCTTCAGGCCTGTAGTCAGCTGAGCTGGTCTGGATTCGAAGGACGAATTTGTGCTCCAGGGGATGAGGAACTTTGTAACCAGCAAACAGGACTTGAGGGTCTTTGAGAAGTTGACTAGAAAAAAAGAGCAAAATTATGACTGAAGGAATACAGACTCAAAGGGCACAAAATGAACAAAGAGTTGTAAACAAAAAGTGTGAACAAAATCAAAGCATGATGTGAAGAGGGAAAATCTAATTGGAGGAAAAAATTTGCATCTTTTTGGACGACTGAACAGTTTTGATATTCTACGTATGTTGTACCTTTAGGTTCACAAATCATTAAATATGAGGGCAATATTTGAGTTGAAAGATTTGTTTATTTAACTAATAATGGCAGGTTCAAAAGCCTCATTAATCGAAAAGGCCTCAAGGTGAGAGAGAAAAAACTTAAGCATCTTTTCAAAGCCTCATGGTTTGAGCTTCCGACTATTCAGGTAAAGAGGAGAGATTTTTGATTGACATTTAAAATATGAATTTTAACAATCATAGTAATCCGATAAAAAGATGGATGAAGGAGACATACTCTCTGATCATGTTGCCAAGAGTGTGATCTTCTTTATTGATGGTGAATATTGCCGCATTCTGTACCTTGGACTCTACTTCTTTAATAACCCTGTGAAAGAAAAAGAAATGATGCTAATTAATTAATAGTATTCCATTGGAGAGAACCTGTACTAAGAGGTTGAGGTGATCCACAAGAACTGAGACAGTTAATCGATCAATAGCTACTTACATTCATACAAGCGTTTCAATGATCAAACAAAACATCTGGTATTTCAAGATCCGCATTCAGAGATGCACCTTGAAAACCTTTGTATTGACCTTGTCAGAACATGCATACTCATCTTGATACAAGTTGGAAAAGATCTCGATCAAGAGGCATATTGTATCTTCAAATTTGAATTAAAAATAAAATGAAAAATCGAAGACCTGATTTGAATGCGAAAAAATACTTCTTCCCAGCAGTGCATGACTACATGCCTAGGCCTTGATAAGACTACATTTAGCAGTAAGGGAATCCAAATTCTGGCTCATTTCAGGAACAGCAAATGTCCCAATTATTTTCCTATGCTGATAAGTGCTTATATGGATGAGTCAGAAGTAGTACACAGATCCTACTTAATTGGAAAATGTGGTCCGATTTCCTCCTTCAAGATTCAAGGTTTTTCCTTGAATGCAGACTTTAAGGATCTAAATTTCAAAAGCATTGAAAACGTAATGACAGGGACAGGAGTTTTTAGGAGCTATCTTTAATTTCAGCAAGTCGCACGAATTCATATTCCGCAACTCCCATCGAGAGGTGCGCATTGGAAGTAGTGCGCTTGTATGAGCATACCTATTTACTCGGGTCAATTAACAAGACAAATAAAATAAATTCATAGGGCATCACTGAAAGATTTTCCTCAGAGAGAGGGGAAGGTCCTGGGAATGCCACAGAGGAAGGGCGTACGGAGGCATGTTTCGCTGTTCCGTTGGGCTTGCCAACCCCTCATTAAGTGCTGAGTAAGAATTAGAGAAAGCAAAGCATCTGAATATAGGTAATACTGCTATAATAAGATAAATAAAAACTTAAATAAAATTTCAACACTGAAGAAAAGTGAGAATGATCAGTGCAGACAAGAGAGGGTGATCAAAACATACTGCTCGGCCACCACAAACAAAGTAACCCAAAGGATAAAACTAGTTGTTCTTACTTCTTTTCTCCTTCAAAGAGAAGAAATGATTCGAAGGTTGGAGGGGCATTCATTTTCAAAGATCACGAGATAAAATGACGAAATGGGTAAAACACCGGATTTATAAGAAGCCAAATGTTTTGATACGGCAGATACGGAGCACAAAATGTGAGGTTATCTATCCACAACTTTCCGGTGTTTACAAATCTACATTCAAAATTCCTTTAAAAGCAAAAATGTTTGTTAAATCTATAGTAGTGTTGGCAACGTCAAGGGATTTTTTTTAAAGTTTCCACAGTTCGACAATATTTAATATTTCTTTCTTTTAACTTTCTTCAGTTTATTCTCAAATATTCTAAATAATTTCTCCAGTTTAAGGCCGTAAAATCACGAAAAATACGTGGAAGCTATTTCGACATCACGGGATTTTTCGGCCGAAATTAGGTCATAGGGAAACAAATCTTTGGAAAGGGGGTTTAGCATTTTTTCGCTGATAACACTGTGCGTTACAGTTATCTGCAGTTATCAATTTCTGTGGGAAGTGAAGTGATCTCGTCTCAGTTTTTTCGGAATTTATCGAAAGTTCAATGTGACAGCTGCAAGTTTCAAGATTAAAATTCTTTCTATGATGACTGCTTCCTTGCCTCCTGTCGCAGTTCATCTTATCCAAGCATTCTGTAAGTTCAACTTTTTTCCTCTTTTCTAAAGCATCTTACTTTTTAGGTTATCATAGTTTCTTTCTCACCCACTATGTACTACTTTCTCATTACTAGGGGTTTCACTTTATTAGATCAATGATCACATCTTGAAAACTGTCAGTTTTTTCTCTACAAACTTTTGATCGATTCATACATCTTTTTCAGTGCTCCAATCTGTTTTTTTCCTCAGTCGATTATGGAGGTCTCATTAGAAGTTTCATGTGCAAGTTCTTGCAAGTTTCTCTTTGTTTATCTGCCCACATGAAATCAAAGAGCTCCTTCAAACTTTTCAGTAATGATATTCCCAGTGTGATGTTATTGTGTTATTGTTGATTTTCTTCAACAGCAGAATTTCTTCATTGGAGAATGACATTTCGCCCATTGATCCTAGCTGTTTTCTTGATATCAACACTCATACGGGTGAGATGCAAGGCACAAAATTTGTATGTTAAATACTTGAACATCGTCCCTTTTTCATCCGACATCGTAATTTACCTTAAAGTCACCACTCTAAATAGTAGCTGCATGTTGCCATTGCCTCCTGTAGGTATGTCAGGCCATGTGGAATTGGGCTAACAGTGAGAAAGGGTCAAAATTTTACCTTTCTCCGGTGCAGGTGAATATCCATGTTAATATGCCCATGTGTGCCCAACAGGGTGATTCAGAAAGTAATTTTTGGTTTTAGTTTTTGGTTTCTAGTACCTAGAAATTCTTGAAGATCGGTGAGAAGAAAAGAATTGAGAATAATTCCAGGTTGTTTCGTTGAATTTTGGAGGGTGCGCACCTCCGAGACACAAATTGTGATTTCTCTTATTTTCACTTAAGCCCCCTTACCTGCTGAGAAACGCCGTTTTTGCGCTTTGTCCTTATGATTCAAGTACATTTTGAGCTATATACGTATTTAACTTTGAAATTTTAATTTCATTGAGAAGAGCCAAGATATTCTTCATTAATGTTTAAAAGCCTCGTGGTCTCATGAGAATGTTCTTCTACTCATCCTAATCTAATTTTTTCTTCTTTTTTTTTTCCAGTACATCAAAACTAAGCCTTCAAAATGGAGAATTTAGCGTCCCTGTACACCAACGTAAGTCTATGCAAACAATTTTTAACACTATCCAATTTCTAATTTTTTTGTATCTTATTCAGTGTATCTTTTCCTATAATCCTCCATGAAAGAGATTTTTATGAGCTTTGTGGAATGATGAAAACTTATTTGTTTGTGTTCCTTAAGATTTCTTGACATAGGTACCCTGGGAAAATCTCTAAAACCCAATTATTCTTCCTCTCTTTTTGAATTCTTTCCCCTCCCTTGCCCCCTCTTGCCGAGTCTATATTTTTTTCTTCCCAAATTATCAACATTGAAACTTCTCAAATAATTTTAATTCAACCCTCTATGGCATAAATTAATTTTGGATCTCACATTCTGACGGACACTAATCTATTTTGTAGCTTGCATGAAAAACATAGTGCACCAGATTTTTTTTCAAAATTTTAATTTTAGGGAATCAAGTATTCAAAAAAAGGAAAACCTATGAAAATTTGCAAAATTATGCCACAGAGAAAAGATTCCATTTAAAAAACCCCTAAAATACATTGTTACGAATTCGTAATGCTACGCGATGGAGGGTTAAGCAAATAACTAAAAGAGGCATACATAAACATGGGGAGGGGACTCAAGTTATCTTGGCTATCCCTAAGGTTTTTAAGTAAATATCTAATTGGAAAAGCATTTTTTCCTCAGACGTTAAAAAATCAGGAAAAATTAAATTTCCTCAACTATAAATTACACTGTGCATACACACCAAGCAAAGTAAAAGTAAACATTAAGTACACAAATGTGGCCTGAACTGTAAGCAACACGATGCAGGGGTGCAGAAAATTCCCAACCATGCGGCCGGCTGTTTGCGTGAAATGGGGGAACCCATGTGAGGACGAAAAAATTGGGGGAACCTTAGGAAGTTTTTTTTCTTTCTTTCTTTTTGTTCTCTTTTTTTTTAGGGTTTAAGGGGAACTTGACTGCTGAGTGCACTACTTTGAGGGAAACTATCTGTCAAGCGCGCTGTTTTGGGGGGAACCAAACTGTTGACCACGCTGTTTTGAGGGAACCCAACTGTTGACCGCGTTACTTTAAGTGTCAGGCAAAATTCTGCGAAAACTTAAAATGGGGGAACCTAAATTTATTTTGGGGGAACCCTTGAAAGTTTCTACACCCATGACAGGATAGTAGAATAGTCCTGGATCCACACTGTTCTGCAGGGAAAACAAGGCCATAAAATTCCAAAAATTTCAATGAAGTAATCCATAGAGTCCATTTTTTTAATCTATTGAAATTTTTAGAATTTTCTGGCTTTGATTCCCCTGCAGAATAATAAGGACCCATTACTATTCAACCATCCTATTACTATGTAAGCGCATGTACAAAACATGTATTTATGTAGTGTTATTTTTATTCAAACGATGTTGGAAATCACAGTGATTCATCACCATAGTTTGCACACTTTTTATCGCGTTCGTCCCCTTCCCTATTTCTTTTTCCTTATCTTTGACCATAGACAGATACAGGTACTTGGAACTAAGGGAGTCCCGGGGGGGGGGGGGGGGGGCTCCCCCAGAACATTTTCAAAATTTTATATCATCCAATGTGTAGAGTGAGTCAATCTCGTCATGAGTAATCACCAAATGTAAAGCGTCCCTCCTTTTCTTTCCTCCGTCCCTTCCTTCCTCTTTCTTCTCTTTTTTCTCCTATCCTTTTTCGGGTGAACGGAGGGGGGGGGGGGCGCACGCCTCGTACGCCTCCCTTGGATCCACCGTGTCTTTGAAAGAAAGCGAACGGTCTATTCTGAGCCTCTGTGATTATTCTCTACGAGGAGTGGTTTTGGAGTAATCTCACTTTCTTACGTCTCCCGTCTACCTTACGCAGAAGAGGAAGAAGTCGAAAAATCGACAAAGAGAGCCTTATGTAACTTTTTCGCGGCCCCTCAAGTTCCTTTCCAGGGTTGCCACAGTCAGGGAAAACCGGGAAATGTCAGGGAAAACCTGGAAATGTCAGAGAAGATTACAAAAAAGTCAGGGGAAAATTGTGAATTTACTTTTATTAGCTTTTCAGAATGGATTTGACATTTAGAATAACAATTTTGGCCGGGAAATTATTTCAAATTTTGTCTTTTTTGCCATATTGCATGTTTCATTGGTCAGGGAATTTTACTCAACTGTGTCAGGGATTTTCATTTTGTGGCAACCCTGCCTTTCCTCATTTATAAAATTTAAATTCGTTAGAATAAAATTATAATGCTCATATTTCTCGCTCACACATTTTTTACCTTCTTCTTCTTTCTTGTATCTATTTACCGATGTATATACGAGCCAATTGAGCATTTTACAAGTTGGTTTCGGGGGATAAGAGAGAAGGATCCGTTGGCAGTCTGCGCGAATGTTGCTGGTAGCTGTGGCCCATCGCCCAGAATTACGTCACTCGCCCGCGATTCGTTATGTAAACGGGTGACGCTGCATGCACCAACACCCGACCAGATCTCCAGCCTCGTGAATTAATTTACTTATTTTATTTTATTGCTATTGCTATTAGTATTCCACCGGTCTCCTCCTGAGGAGTACGCTTTGTGCCGCGTTGCTTCGTAGGTCTCTCGCTAGTGACGTCTTCTTGAAGAGCGGAGACAATACCTGCGCGAAACAGGTGCACAAATAGAATAGCCCTTCCGGATTTTAAACTTTTTTTTTCTTCTTTTTTCTTTTTTTTACTTTGTCACTCCCCTAGTTTTCTCTTGGCGCGTAAGGGTTTCGATTTTTACAAAACTAAATGGAAAGCGTTAAAATCGATTTTTTTTTTTTTTTTTTTTTTTTTTTTTTTTTGTGGATTTATACGATGAAAAATCTCCAATACGACGTCATTGCCATGGCAACGCTTTCCAAAGGAGGGAAATTGACAAGGGTCATTTTCGGACACACCTTCGATTTTTCAACTCTTAACACAATTTTTACTCATTGAAGGTCCATGTTTTACGGAATTCATCTTATAGTCTTTTCGGGTCGGATACCGCCCTATAAATGGGTCTAAAAGCCGGAAAAGGGTAAAAACCATAAATAAAACATGGCTAAACCATGTCATAAATCCCAAATATATTCGCCCGCAAGAAAGGTACTCGATCGCCGAAAAACGAAAAACTGACATTTTTAACAGTACTGTCTGCCTCTGCATAGCTGCGAAGAGATTTTTCGAGCATTTTATCATAAAAAACGGGACAGATGAATACAGGAAGAAAAATTATCGTCTTCTAATTTACAAACGGAAAAAAATTGAGCTGTCATTGCACGTCCAGCGCCAACACTCGAACAAGCGCGATGCTTATTAATGATAACGCCTTAATGCAACGATGCAACTATTCGTGCTCTAAGGATGTCCGTGTTGCATAGCTAAAAATTGAAGGCGCTCCGGTTTTTGTTTCCTCGTAGCGGTTCGCACGGTA